CTGTTGCTGTTGCTGTTGCTGTTGCTGTTGCTGTTGCTGTTGCTGTTGCCAGGTGGCAAATTTTTGTTGAAACGACGCGTTCGTGTTCTTCGTCGAAAGGGACTGGATGGCCTTCCGCACCGCGTCCGTGTCGACGTTGGAGGTTTGTGGCCGGCCGCCCGGGCGCTCGCTGCGTGCGTTGCTTCCCTTCCCGGAAGCGCCGATGCCGGCGGGCGGTGTTTTTTTCTCCGGCCCCTCCCATTCCTGGTGGACGACAAACCCTCCCTGCCGGCGGATTTGTTGGAGTTCCTCGTTTCGCTGATCGAATCCGGCGCCTATGATCCTCAGGTCTTCGTCCTTCTCCCTCGCCTCCGAGACACCCCCTTGCGACAATGCCAGGGTTTGTTTGTATTCTTCCTCTAGAGCCGACAACGCACCGGCCGCGACTTGTTCGAAGTCGTCTTGCCCGGCACCACCGGAACCTCCAGTGGCCGAAGCATCGGCAAAAAAGGTTCCCGTCGCCGATCCTCCTTGGATCTGGTCGTCGCCATTGCTGTTGCTGTCGCCATCGCTGTTGCTGTCGCCATCGCTATTGCTATCGGCAGCTCCCGGCCCCGTGGAAAACATCTGGTACGAATCCGCGCCGTCGAAACCGCCATCGGTGTTCAAATCGGAAAGCGGCGTATATCCCTCGGCCCGGGCCCAGGCTTCGGTCGAATCCGTCGTTTCCGGATCTCCGGTGGTTCTATGGTTTCCGACAACGGCAATGGCATCGTTGATGATGTTGATCTCGCGGCCGTTGGGGTCTGTGTCGGTTTCCAAGACATCCTCTTCGATGGCGTTTGGCTGGTGGGCTCTTTCTTCTGGGCGCGGGCCCATTTTTGTGGGGTGCGTGTGGTCGTGAGAAAGAACACTTCGGTGTCGAGATACAAACGATGCAGGATTCTGTTATGTACCGGTATGACTCTCTTGTTTCCCCGGGGATTGCGCACCGACACTGGCAACTATTAATACTGTAGTAACGACAGTGTGAAACGATTGCTGCGGTATAAGAACGAACACGAATCCGAGACGAAGTTCGCAGTCGGGCTTGATACAGTAACGAGGAGAGTGATGGATCAACGTCGATGAGCAAAAAAGGGGAGAACATGAAAGCAGGGAATGAATCCTCCTCTCGTACGCAAGTGCTACTTCTGTACTAGAGTAGCTAGTACGGTACAGAATGAAACGCGAAGTATGAGTTTTCACATCATGCTGCAGTACGAAGTAGTTTTCGATGCGTTGCGCACCCCTCCTAAATTTATGACCCCTGGTCATTAGCGTCCTATTTGCCCAGTTCAATCGTTGCGTTACTGTAAATCGATGCGTTACATCGATGCGTGAAATCGATGCGTCGCGTTTCGTTGATTCGATGCGTTACCTCGCGATGTGTTGAATCGATGCTACGTTGAATCGACGTCTTCTCTCCACTCTTTTGCCTAAGACCAGCTTCTTCTTCTTCTTCTTCTTCTTCTTCGGTTATCAGCGAGACATCTCAGCGGGTAAAGGAAATAGAAGTCTTTTTTATTACATTTGCTGACGTATTTCGTAACACCCAGCCGGTCTCGAATTCAGACAGTTCAGACTGCGACACGAACCATGGCGCGTTTTTCTAGAAACGTCGGGGCAAGGACGGAAGCGCTAATCTACCGAAATCGTGTCTTTTTGTCCCTGCTTGTCTTCGCCACTGCCTGGCTCTGTGCGATGATGAGCTTTGTCCCAAAGCTACGGATTGGTCGAGTGGGGGAGAAAACAAAAGCCTGGTCTTTGTCACTCAAGGGTGGCGATGGTGCAAGGATCTTCTCTAGCAGTTACCCTTTTCAATCCCTGCCCGGAGGCGACGCCGTGAGCGGGGTGGTTTTCAGGGGAGAAAAAACCCGCAGCTATGAGGGAGAACGAATCTTTCGAAGCCTACCTTCGAGCCCCCCTTCCAAAGACACAACGACGACGACACCAAAGGCTCTCCCGCTGATGGATCCGGCTATTCGCTGCAAGAACTGGAATGTTGTCACCACAATTTTCGATCCATCCGAGGCCGTCCGCAGAGCTTGCTGGGTGGAAGGTTGGTGCACGGTGATTGTTGCCGATACAAAGACCCCGGAGGGATATATGGAAAAACTAAGAAACATGGGCGGTATCGTAGGAAGCGACACCGAGAGCCGATTCATTCGAACAGGTCGTCGTCGATCGGAGAAACAGGAAGGCAAAGACGAAGACGAAGGCATCGTTGTCTTTCTGTCGATAGATGATCAAAAGGAATGGATGCAGCTGGAAAGAGGGTCGTCGAGCGCCACAAGCGACAGCACTGCGGTGGGGAAGTTCTTGGAAGCGATCCCTTTTCGAAGCTTTGCACGCAAGAATATCGGATACCTGTACGCCATTGCCCACGGGGCCCAAAAGATATTTGATTTCGACGACGACAATCTCCTGCCGGTTAGTTTAGGAAAAGACGGCGAGGAGCGGGTGTTTGCCCCCTTTCACAACAGAGATGCGCTCGAAAATCCCGCAATGGTGGTCACCGGACCAACCGCATTCAACCATCACAACATCATGGGCATCAGCGTAAATGGCACTTCGTGGCCGAGGGGGTTCCCGCTCACCCAGATCACGAACCCTGCTACCCGTGGACGCATCGCCCTCGAAAGCAAGGCTTTTCGAGATGTTCCCATGAGCGAGATCGGTATCCTACAATTTGTGGCCGACAACAACCCCGATGTCGACGCCATCCATCGGCTCGTTCAGGGACAGATGAATCCTACGACCGGCGAGACCGTCCACTTCAAGCGGCATGTGAAGTACGACAGCAACAGCAGCAGGGAAGAGGCTGCGAACTATTACAACACGGTATCGGAGATATCGACAGAGGGTTCCCTGCTCGTTCCCTCTCACGCATACGTTTCTTTTAACGCCCAGGCGACGGTGTTCACGCACCAGGCCATGTTTGGCCTCCTCTTGCCCCACACTGTTATGGGACGTGTTGCCGATATTTGGAGGGCCTATTTTTCACAGCGCATTTTCCGAGAAGTCCGCACACCGAAGAGAGAGAGCAGCTTTGGTAATGATGGCTTGAAGGTGGTGATTTTGCCACCCGATATTGTCCAGGAACGAAACGAGCACAATCTACTTAGGGACCTGCAGTCGGAAGAACACCTTTATTGCAGGACAGAAGCCTTGCTAAGTTTTTTGGACAAGTGGGAGTATGAGGGAGATAAGGACGGCGACAACCGCAGCATTCCAGCGATGATGGAAAAACTATGGATCGGCCTCTATGAGCGTGATTTTATCGAGAAACAGGACATCGAAGTATTGCAGTTGTGGCTTTCTGCTCTGGTTGAGGTTGGGTACGAATTTCCCAAAGTCCAAAGCAATAGCGCACGCCAAATTAGGGACGTAGTCGTGATGGGCCAATTTAACTATGGATCCAGCAAAGTAGCTGATAACCAAGACGAACTTATGAAAACGAACCTGTTGTTTTGGTACCAAAAATGGAGGCAACGCTTCCGCAAGGTTGTCATTCGCGGTCCCTTTTCGGCTGATTTAGCCAAAGAATTTTCTGAACAACACGAGATTGATGTCGAGTCCACTCGGGATAGATTATCCCATGACAAGGGTTTCGTTTCTCCTATGGACAACCTCTTGTCCACTCTGAAAAAGTACGAGGACGATCCAACGATAAGTGGGGTGCTGTACGTTCACGACGACATGATCGTAAACGTCACCAACGTTTTTGATGGTGTAAACCGCACAACTACTGTTTTAGGAACTAGATTTCTGACTGCTCCTCAACCTTATCGAATACATCCTTCCTGGGCATCCAATAGCAAACCCAATTCTACTGATAAAACCCTCATTTTTACCGCACCTGATGGATTCAGGACAGAAAAGTGGTATGAGTTACTAGGTCACTTGGAGAACTGGGATCATAATCCGGAATGCATCCACCAGTTTTCCAACATTGCTAATGACCCACGAATCAAGCCGTATCTTGAGCACGACGAAACAATCGAAAATGGAAATCCCTATCTGTCGGTTCCATATCGAATGCAAGCCGACTTTTTGTATATTCCAACTCGCCTGTCAAGGAAGTACGAAGAAATTGCTAACCTGCTCATTGAACACAACGCATTTTTAGAATGTGGGGTACCAAAGATTGTTCAACACGTGACCACCGCTTCCAGCAATGTGATTTTCAAATTTGTCGATCTGTGCACCAGCTTTCTGAACCGAAGAACCCGGGGGAGCCTGAACATGATTACACGATGCGAGCCTGAGTACGCGAATTCGCAACCCAACACGCCCTTACCGTCTCCCCATGGTGCAATCCATCCGATCAAAATAAATGCTCGAGGATACAAGACATGGGGTATGCTTTTCGATTGGGCCACATCCGGAACGACGCGATTGAATGTGGCGGACTACGAGAACTAAAAACATTTCTCGGAAACCATATTTTGCTGCTCAGTGTGTCGATAATAATGCAAGCAATACGAAGATCTACGCTAGAATTCTAATTTTGTTCATAGATGACACAGTTCCACTAGAAGTAGTGTAGACTAGATTTTATGGAGCTACACAGTAAGAATGGCAACACAAGCTCAGATTGTATAAGTAAGTGATGTTGGATCCTATTCTGCGGCCTTCCGGAGACTTCGATGTAGCTCTTTTCAGAATGCATCGCACCAAAAACGATGACTTCGTCTCCCTAGCTCGAATTGGAGGAATGCAGCAAGCAAGGCGCGGTACTTGTATATTCGTATCTTCTGCTTTCTTACGATTCAAATTCACTTGTCTATGCCGGCGATGTTTCCCCTTCAACTCTAGTTTTCCCTAGCGGTGGGACTATTGTTTGCGTTTGTCATTGCGGAACCTTTGTATCTTTTCTAGCTGGCGATTCGTATTAAAAGATTTCTCTTGTCGATCCTCCGGTCGTGCCTCCACAATCCCTCCTCGGAGGGAGGTGCCGCCCCTCGGAGCCAGCATTCTTCTCCACAGAAGTTCTGGTTCGGGCCGACATAACACCTCTTCAACTTTACGAGGTTAAGCATAACATCAAGATTTTTTTTCATTTCCCCAGAAATGGAAGCTCTTCTAATTCCATGAGGTCGAGAAATTAAAAAAAATCCATAATTTTCGTATTTGGACCACGTGGTGTCAACAAAGAAGATCATCAGTCGAAGAACACAAAAACGTATCTTAGTAATGGCGATAGTCTTATTCATTGTGATCAACGATTCCGTTTCCCACTGTATTTTTCATACGGTGAAACAACAAAATAATCCGAAAAATATTGTTTGCCTGCTTTCTACACGCCATCATTGAATCACGAGGTTCTTCACCTCGGGTCGTTGTATTTCAATGTCGATCAATGTTGCTAGATAGAAATCATGGTGAGACAACCCTTGTAACACGTGGGTTCGACAAACGACCCGGGTGCAGATCTTCCATGATTTCGTGCGAGACTGGAGTTTTCGGTCAAAGACAACCTTGTAGGGATAGTGCTGCGCGTTGATTTGCGCAACCGCAGCAACGTGGTTCAAGAACTGCGCTCCCGACATGTAATCATCGTGCCAAAAATTTCTTGCAATCCCAAATGGAACTGACGCATTGTCGTCGTCGCAATCCTTGGCAACGCCACTATGAGTTTCAACAGCGTTACCCATCTGCTCATCGTTGCTTCCACCTGCCAGCAGTAGAATTTCCCACTCTGGTTCGACCGTAGGTAGCAACGTTTTTGCCTCATCAAGCGTCAATGGTTTTCCATCCTGACCATATGGATCGCATTTTGAAGTAGGCCGACGTGCGAATGGATCCGGCCTGTCACTTGAACCGAATTTCCGAGTTAGCAAAGCTTTCGTCCGGGAGTGAGGAGAATCATCGGGAAAGCATCCGCGGTAGGTATTCGAATTGCCGCAGCCGGATTTTTCGAGGGACGTGTTCATTGGAATGAGTTGCGAGGCAATTAAAGAATAAGATCGCCCTACATCACAATGTTTCCATGCGCAAATAAATCCAAAGGGTGTTCTCCTGCTGTCGAAGGCACGGATCGTGCGTTTCATCGTTTCTCGAATATACTCTCAGCTTTTTTTTGTCCCTCTTCATGCTGTGTGCTGTGGAGAGGGTGCACAACGATGACCGAGTTTTTCAGATTAAAAAATTGCAACTCGTACACTTCTGCATGTGGAGCTACTGTACGGCATTATTTGATTGAAAGCAGGCCATCTCCAAAGATAAGAATGTGAGGGAGTACCACAATCAAAAGTAGCTAGTAGTGAATAACCTCACTCTTTATTGTAGACCAAGTTTTCATGTACACTAAGGAGCCCAACAACATTTCACAGGTTATAATTGCACCATCCCTGGTTTCTTGTTCTCTCTCATCACTAACAATCACCATTGTATCTACACATGTAAAAACATGTATTTCTCATTTTTATTGTGAATACATTGCCAATCCTTGTACTACCTGCTGTATTTTTCAACCACCACACTACTACCTGGATCATCTCCTTTGAACTAAAGTAAGAACTTCCAGCTGGTGATCTCAAATTTAGATACTAGTAGTAGTACCTACTAATACTACAAATATTTGCCATACTGGCCAAACTATGTACCAGAACTTTCCATTGTGTTTAATTTTAGACACAATGCATCTGAGAGTGTCAAACTCAAATGATCCATTTCCCATTCCCTCTGGTGAACCCATTTTTTAATTCAATACGCAACTTCATTGTTGTCATTGGACAGCAGGAGTCATACCAAAACTCCAAGCACGAGATCTTACACCGTCATCAGTTCCTTAGAGCCTGTGTGTCTGGTCACTTCAGGTCCTCAATATCATGATTACCTGGCATCCATCTTTCTGTCTTGTTTTTTTTCATGAATTCTTGTTCCACCACCACCAGCACTCTTGTTGTTATTATATCTCACCTTCTTCTCTCCTTTCCAAAACTACAAAACCACTCCAACCTGTTCTTCCCATCACACCCATAACTATGTTCCAGGTTGATCATGGTTGTTTACAAMAGACCCTTTCTCAGTTCTTGCTCTTGTTATGATCCTTGTTCTAAATGTGCTTCTGTTATTGGTAGACTCCTAATAATTGGGCCAACTGGCAATTTGTACGTAATTAGGCTGGTGAACTGGAAGGTCCTTAATCAGGGTGCCCTTTTTGGTTGAACAGGAAGCAAAAGATACCCTTTCTTCCTCCTGTATTGTTCAAGACAGGATGGATCCTAGAATCAAACAGTAAGCTCAGTTGCTGCAGTTGTGACCATGACAGGAAAAAAAGAAAAGAAAGGACAATTGGAGAGTGTGGAAGAGGAGTGTATTTATGGAAGCAACCCAAGAAAGAAATGAAACAGGATGATGCTATGAATAAATGTGCCTGGTAGTTAGTAGTTGCACATAGGAGTAGTTATTGTGTAATTCTGTGCTTAGAAGAAATGTGAGGTGCCAGGTGCATGATAAAAATGGAAAGGTGAAAACTAAAAAACTGAGCAATTCATTTTCTGGTGAAATGAGTGTTGCTATCAATGAGAGAGACCAAGAATTTTGGAGGGGTGCAATAAGTAGGTTTATGTTTGGGGAATAGCTATGCCAAAAGTAGTATGAGTTACAATTTTATTCATTCTGAAAAATCCAGTTCTTTTTTATTGTACTGTTATGGACAATACTAGTTGACAACATGGTGATATCAACTGGCATGTTTGGTTAGTTTAATTGGAGTAAAACTACAGTCCAAACTAACATGAAATCTTGCCATCCACTATCTACTAGTACTAGTAGTGTAAATTTGACAGACTACTAGTTATAAGCCTCTTCACTAGTGCTGGCTGTTACTAATGTGCTGTTGGCTCTCCCCTGGGACCTCCTAACATAACTGCATAACAATGACACTGGGCACTCGTCAGAACTCTTCTCAACACTAGTATGACCAAGCATTTCCCCACATACCTGACCAAGGCCTTCTGGAATCTGACCATGGTGGCATCCCCTTTCTTGGAAGGGGAGAACCCACCTCCCTGCCTCCATTCAAGTAACCAGCGAGGAGAAGAAATCTAAAAAGACTTTACTACTACTAACAAGTGAATTGAAATCATTCCTTCCAGCTGCCCCAGCTGGATCCATTGATCCCCTGTTTTTCTGGAAGCACCATGTTGTTGTTTCCAACATTTGTGTTGGGCAGCAACAACAACACCCCAAGCCCCTATTAAAGCAATTCCACCAAGCCGATGCTGCTATGATCACCAGCATCCTTCCCTTACAACAGTTCTTTTGACCAGAATTGTTGTTTCCAACACTTGGGCCATACAGCAACAGCAACACCCACAGCCCCCGTTATCTACTAGATCTTACCAGTACCCACCAGTTCTCTTCTTCTTCAAGAAGATACTTCACAAACAGTTGCTCCTTTTGGTTTTGGGCCTGGCTGTTACTTCTTGAAAAATTGTGTCTGTTTAGTTTTTCTTTTGTCTTTTCTTTCTCTTTTTGATTTTTCTTTTTTATGACTACTCCAACACCCTTGCCTTTGTACACTGTGAGGATGTTTGCCTTGATTGGCTTAGCAGTGTGCTTGGCACTCATTTCCTTGATCACTGTAAGTTGACTTGCCTTCTGGCTTGGCAGTACCCTATGAAATGATAATGGCATGGCTCTCATCCATCTGAACTGTGAACCAACTCCTTCTATGCCATCTGAGTCCAGCCTCAAGCCTTCATGGGCTTGTCAGTATTCATAGAACCTGGTAGCGCCTCCACAAAACCTCCTTGGAGGGAGATACTGCCCCTTTGAGCAGCTAGGAGCATTTTTCACCCTAGTCAGGAGAAGCTATGGTTCTGGCCATATAGTGCCTCTTCTAGTTCACGAGGTCAAATAAAATATTAAGATTTTTTCAGATCTACTCATAGTATGATGTAGCAGGCTTAGCTTCAAAATAACAACACATTTACTACTAGTAATAATTTTAGACATTGGAGTAGAATAAGATTGAGCTCTGTAGGCCCCCCTGGTAGGCTTTCTACAATTAGACTCATGCATTTTGCTCCAATTAAACTTGCTGTACATGTAGATTTGAACTATGATCGTGTTGATTTTCTAGCTGTTTTACTAATAGCAATCAACAACAAGCTTTGCTAGTCATCTGGGATGAGTGTCAAGTTCTTTGCACCTTTACGACTGGTGGGGTGATTGATTTCCAAAAAATGACCCCAAGCAAATACTGACAGCAACAGGATATTAAATTCAACCAGCAGCATCCATCCACCACCACTATGGCAGAAAATACTGCATCTTGTTAGTAGTAGTAGCATTTACAATTGTAGTATTTGACTTCTTATCAATGCAGTAGCTACATCATTGTCATACGCCACTTATTAACATTCTTTCCATTGCATCTGATACTGTTGTTACTACTAGTAATCAATTGTGATCCTGTGTACCATAGTACTCAGACATGGACCAACAGGGGTTGTTCATCCTTCTTGCATTGACCTTATTGTTTGTCAAACAACACTGTTGTTGTCCATAGGATATCAGACCGT